ATCAAGTTCAATTATCTTTTACTGTTTTTTTATGAAATTTGAGCTTTTTTGTCTATTGTAAACAGGACTAAAATGTTTTCCCTATCCCTTGCCTTGCTGCCATTTTTCAAAAGCTGCTTCAAATCCTCTTCCCCTTAAATAATAGTTTGATTAGTAGCATTGTTAGGATTAATTCCAAAACCATGGATTATTAATGTAACTTTTCAGTTCCTTCCATTGTTCATTCCCTTCCATATGCAAGGTATTTCAGACATCGATGTATCAGCTCCTGTGCTGTGGTAAAAATACTACAGAAAATAAAATCTGACCCAGAGGAAGACTTTATGGACATATCAGAGTGTCAGTCGGTCAATTAGGAAAGAAAGTCTCTCGAACTCGTGGCTAGAGAAAATACACTTTACTAAAGCCAAGTGGTTACAGCGTTGCAAAGCCCAAAGCATCTGGTTAACTTTTCCACTGGCTTCCCACTCCACCCCCTATAGTTATCAATTAGTGTCTACTGGTATTCAAATATTTTTTGGTGAGGGGGTAACAGTCCCAGGCTGGCTGGTGCTGTATTCTGTCAAGTGACCTTGGAGCAGCCGGTGGTTCTCACAGGACAGTACGAAGAGTAGTTTCGCATCCCCAACTCCTGCCCCCCCCTCTTCTGCCCACCTCACAGTCCCTTCCTGCTTGTTGCAATATGGCAGATTGGCATCCAAGGAAGCATTGCAGGTGTAACAGCCTGGCAGTCCTGACACAGACATAGTCACCTTGCGGAATGATGTTTTCAATTTCCCAGTACAGTCAACAGCCTTGAGATTTTTTTAGATACCCTCCTGTCAGTGGTGGGATTCAAATTTTTTTATTACCACTTTGGGCTTGGCTTGGTGGGTGTGGTATGGCTTGGTGGGCGTGGCAGGGGAAGGATACTGCAAAATCTCCATTCCCTCCCCACCCCACTAACCTGCTTTCCAGCTCCGTTCTCCTGGGCAGGGCAACCAAAGAAGACCCAGCCAATCAGCTGGGACTTGGGAGGCAGAGAATAGACAGGGGTGGGGCCAGTCAGAGGTGGTATTTGCCGGTTCTCCAAACTACTCAAAATTTCCACTACTGGTTCTCCAGAACTGGTCAGAACCTGCTGAATACCACCACTGCCTCCTGTCCAGTAATAATAGTCAATCTGGTTTTTCATTTTGAACTTAATCAAAGTTGACCAGATTCTAAAGCCAAAAAAGTTGAAATAAAACACAAAATAATGGAGGATTTTTGATACTTTACTCTCCTCTAGGAACAGACTTGGGCCACTGCTTTCATGCAAAGTTGTCTCTTCTGTCTGTTGCTATAATATTTTTTTTTAACAGAAGCAGGTTGGAAGCATTGCTGCCTAAAACATATTTATATGTTATCTTCCCTAGTGAGTGAGGTCCCAAAATATATTTGTCACTTCTCGTTATTTTGAGGAGCTTAGAGATAAGTGAAGCTACATCTCACTTTCTATTTTTTGTTTCCCCATCCCGTGCTAACTTGCTTTATCTTTTTTTTTAATCCACAGGATTGTGTGCAGCTGAATCAATACAAACTGAAAAGTGAAATAGGAAAGGTAAGGTTTATAGCACCTTGTTTTCTGCCCCAGGGTTGGACAGAATGTAGATTGAAATTAACTGTGAGATTTCTGGATGTTTTAGAAAGGTTCTAAGGTGAAGGTAAAGGTTCCCCTCGCACATACATGCTAGTTGTTCCCAACTCTAGGGGGCGGTGCTCATCTCCGTTACAAAGCTGAAGAGCCAGTGCTGTCCAAAGATGTCTCCGTGGTCATTTGGCCAGCATGACTAAACGCCGAAGGCGCATAGAACACTGTTACCTTCCCACCAAAGTGGTTCCTATGTTTCTACTTGCACTTTTATATGCTTTCGAACTGCTAGGTTGGCAGAAGTTGGGACAAGTAACGGGAGCTCACTCTGTTACGTGGTGCTAGGGATTCAAACCGCCAACCTTTCTGATCGACAAGCTCAGGGTCTTAGCCACTGAGCCACTGCATCCCAGCCAAGAAAAGTCCTAAAATGGGACAAAACTCAACAAATTTCTCACTTAGCAACATAAATTCTGGGCTCAATTATGGTTGTAAGTTGAGGAAGCCTGTATTCCAAACTGACCTTGAGCAAAAAGAAGATAAACTAACCCGCCTAGCTCTGTGCTGCGATAGTGCGTATAAGCACTATCAACTACAAAAAGGGAGGAGAGCAACTTTTAATAGTGCAACTATTAATACTCACCACAGCAGGAAAACTAGGAATTGTCCTGACTGAGTTCTTCATTTCCTCTTCAGTTACTTCTACTATGGTGCAATGGTCCTTCTCTAAAGGAAGAGGGTGCTTGACCTCATAATAGCCCACAAACCAACCTCAACTCTCAGACAGACTCTGTCAAAACCGAAAGGGCAGATAGAAACAAACCACAGATCAGATGTCATATACCGAATCCATTGCAGCAACTACGAAAAGAACCAAGTTGGACAAACAGGAAGAATGCTATCAACCCAACTGTATAAACACATCCTGGCTATCAGAAGACATGATTCACTATCCCTCATATCAGTCCACAAAAATTCAGAAGGTCACAAATTTGATCTAACCGGGACCACAGTTGTAACCCAGGTGAAATCAAGGAGAGAAAGAGAAGTCCTTGAAGCAGGGATGGGATCAGGGGTGGGATTCTACCAGTTCGCACCTATTCTCTAGAACCGGTTGTTAACATTCTAAGCAGTTTGAAGAATTGGTTGTTAGAAGAAATTACTGGCCTAATCCTGTAAGGAAGGCAGGAAGGAAACATTCTGGTGTTGCTTACAGAAACTGCCTCTCCGTTAACCCTTATTTCATTCTTGGCAGGACTAGACTGCCTGTCTCAGGAACTTCTCTGGAGTTTTTTCCCCCTCCTTTGCTGGTACTTTGCTTGTGTGGAGTGACCATTCAAAGTTACAATAGCACTGAAAAAAGTGACTTATGACCATTTTTCACACTTACGACTGTTGCAGCATCCCCACAGTCATGAGAGGCCAGGTGAGGAGATGCATGCCTCGATGTGAGTGATATTGAGTTGGCCACGCCCAGCCAGTGACATGACCACCAAGCCATGCTCACCAACTAAGCCACACCCACAGAACCAGTTGTTAAAAAATTTGAATCCCATTCCTGCCTTGAAGCCCAGTTTTCCACCAATAAGTCAATAAACAGACACATTGATATTGACCCTGTCTACCAATCGCTGAGAACGAAAGAACTGCATCAATCACAATCCTGAAGGTAGCATTTAAAACAGGCACCCCACTATGCAGCCACAAAATTATAACCCATCGGCTCACAAGAAATCGGACTATGTCTCAAGAACAACTGGCCACTCAAACTATCAAGCAAGCTGAAAACAGACCAGACCATGACTCAGAAATATCCGAACAAACAATGTTCAGACTAGTTTGCATCTCATAAAAAGTATTTAAAGAGCTGTGTTCTGACAGACTAGCACAATTCAAAACGCACTGACGATGCCTCCTCGAATGGTGACAAAATGTTTGCAAGCAAATTGCCAAGCTTGGAATTCAAACCAATAATAGCCTAATTCAGAAGAATTATTTGGAGGAAAGATTATTATTTAATTGAAGATTGGCTTGGTAGTATGGTAACTTCCCATTTTTAACATTGTTTTCAGTTAAAAGAATCTAACATGAAGCTTAGGTGTGATTGGAGCTTGCTAGATCTTTGTGGACTCATTGGCCCCACAGGCATTACACTTGAAAGCCAGGGAAGAAGGACTAAGGGATGGATGTTCTTGAGTGCGAGAATGAGCAAGCTTGTTCTAATACTGAACATATGTTCCTTGAATGAATTACAGGTTGTTCTTGACTTATAACCACAGTGAAGCCCAAAATTTCTGTTGTTAAATGAGACATTCCTTAAGAGAGTTTTGCCCCATTTTACGACTTCCTTGCCACGGTTGTTAAGGGAATCACTGTAGTTGATAAGTTAGTCACCCAGTTGTTAAGTGAATCTGGTTTCCCCATTGACTTTGCTTTGTCAGAAAGTCAGAAAAGGTGACCATATGACCAGGGATGGGATTCTACCGGTTCTGTCCACTTCTGTAGAACCGGTTGCTCTGAAGAGCAGCAAACAGAGAGCATACACAGAACCAGTTCTATGTTTGCTGCTGTTTTGGCCCACCCACCTGCCCAGGCTCTTACCTGACCTTTATTTCCTGCGTTTTGAACCGCAGCTGCTTTGCACAGCACAGCTGCGGTTGAAAAAGCAGGAAAAAAGGGATTTTTCAACCGCTACGCACTTGCACGCAGCGCTGCTCAGCTGTACGGGCAGCTCAGCAGGTCGTAAATTGCACTCGCGCGACTCACGCGCAACGCAGAGTGACAGAACCAGTAGTTATACTGGTTGGATCCCATCCCTGCTTAGGACACAGCAACGGTCATAAGTATGAACCAGTTGCCAAGCATCTGAATTTTGATCACATGAGTATGGGGATGCTGCAAAAGTTGTAACTGTGAAAAATGGTCGCAAGTCACTTTTTTTAGTGCCGTTTTAACTTTGAACGGTCACTAAATGAGCTGTTGTAAATTGAGAAGTACCTTTATGTGCTCAGAAGCCAAACAGGCAATTTTTCTTCCCAAAATGGCTCAGTAAATATCTAATAAAAGATAAGGTAGAATAAAGTCATCTCTGCAAGTCATCTCTCTCCAGTTCTCCTTCTATCATCTGATGGAGTCTTTCCTTTCATAAGAGATCTGACACTTTTAATATCTTGAGATTTCCAATTTTAACATGTATTCCTTTATCAGCCATAAAGTACTAGTCTTCCCCTGATGCAAAGTAGACTTTTTGCAAGTCCAGAGTTCTTTTGTCGTCATGAGAACCCTCCCAAATACACCTCACACAGCAAACTGTTATTTATAAACTGAAGAGCTCATTCAAAGGTGTAGGGGCTTCACAGTCTGTTTCTATTGCTCGCCTCTGGGAGGGGGTTTCAAAGTATTTCTAGCAGGACTACCAGATTCTATAACAGCTTTGTTCCCTATGCCATCCATCTGGTAAACTCGCAAGATTCATTTCTATCGCCATGTACATGTATACATCCGAACTAGACTGTGTTGTTTCTCTGTGTCATATTATATATGTGGTATATGCATAATTTTGTATTTATTTATTTATTTTGTCATGTTTATGCAGTGTATATTGGAGGTGGTGACTGTTGTATGCAATGAAATTTTGTTTTAATGTATGCCAATTAGTGTACATTCAAAGTGAGAATAAAGTTATTTTAAGTTATTCTAAAACTTTAATGATTTAGTTTCTAGTCTGGTTATGATTTATGTATTATATTTTTTAGATGTTTGTACCAATGCCCTCCAAGTACTTTATCATTGTCCAATATTTTATCATGTCCAATATTTTATCATTGTATTTTTCTAGATAGTGTTGATATTTAAAACAACGACCTTGACAGCTACTTATATTTTATTTGGTCTTTCACTGGTGTTCTGGCTATATTTTTATACTTGTATTGCTAAATGTCAGGCAGTGGCCAGATGCCAGACAATTGGTTCTTTGAGGATCCAGAGACCATGAACACGCTAGTAATTAAGAAGATTTTAAGCTTTAATATTAAGTTTAGCAGATGGATTTAATCAGAAACACAAAAGCATAACAAATGATGACAAATGTCCATTCACCTCTATCAGTGGACTTGTATAATTGTAGAGTCAAAAGTCAACATTGTTGATTATATTATTAATCAATTTTAGAACTATTTGTCTGCAACTTTAGGTTTGTATTATATAAAGTAAAGTTTCCAGGTTGACTTTGATTGTGTGTGTGTGTGTGTGTGTGTGTGTGAGAGAGAGAGAGAGAGAGAGAGAGAGAGAGAGAGAGAGAGAGAGAGAGAATATTTACAGACACATCCAAATAGCTTAGCTGCAAAATATCACTAATTTGTCATTGCCTTTTCAATTTTTTAAAAATAGTTTTTAGGTTATAGCCCTGGTAATCCCTGGAAATCTTCCATTCAAGGCCAGGGAACCTTGCTTAGTTTCAGAGCTAATTCTCCATCAGGGGACAAGCATTTTTGTAAACACTTCCATCCTCAAAAATGCAAATAATAATTTTGGAAATAAAATTGTAGTATTAAACACCCCCATATTTCATGAGGAAAGCGTTCAGGTAAGCAAATGATAATTATTAGTTGGCATTATAATTATACCTGGGAATTGTAATTGTTACTGTTCCACTTTCCTTTTCATCTAGGAGGATTTTCTCTGGCTGTCTGCCTGGAGTGTTGAAACATGATATAAAGACTTTTAATCACCTTTAATGCAGCCACTTGTTGGAACTTCAAAAGGCCAATATGCCAATGGGCCTGGTTACTTCCATTCAGATGCAGTGTAGTTTAACTGTGTAGTGTCCTATCAAATTCTGTACTTGTTAATAGTGGTGTCCCCCAAGGCAGTGTTTCAGGACCAACTCTCTTCATACTCTACATAAATGACCTCTGTGATCACATTAAGAGCAACTGAGTTCTCTTCACTGATGATGTAAAGCTGTTCAATACCACAGACAACACTGCTACCCTTCAAAAAGATCTTGACTATGTATCAGAATGGTCAAACAAATGGCAACTTCAAATCTCAACAAATAAATGCTCTGTCTTACATATTGGCAAAAAAAATCAGAAAATAAAATACAGGCTGAATAGTCAAGACCTTGTTGATGATCCAAACTCTGTAAAGGACCTTGGAATACTCATCTCTAATGATCTAAGTGCTAGAGCCCACTGTAACTACATAGCCAAAAAGGCGTTAAGAGTTGTTAACCTAATCCTACGTAGTTTTTTCTCTGGTAATATCACACTACTAACTAGAGCATACAAAACATTTGCTCGACCAATACTCGAATACAGCTCATCAGTCTGGAACCCACATTACGTATCTGATATTAACACAGTTGAGAAAGTCCAGAAATATTTCACAAGAAGAGTTCTCCACTCCTCTACTCGTTGTAGAATACCTTATGCCACCAGACTTGAAATTCTAGACCTAGAAAACCTTGAATTACGCCGTCTTCGGTCTGATCTAAGTATGGTATATAAAATCATACATTGCAATGACTTAACTGTCAATGAATACTTCAGCTTCAACCATAACAACACAAGAGCACACAATAGATACAAACTCAAGGTTAACCGCACCAGACTTGATTGCAGGAAATACGACTTCAGCAACAGAGTGGTCAATGTCTGGAATATTCTACCTGACTCTGTGGTTTCTTCCCCAAACTCCAAAAACTTTAACCTTAGACTGTCTACTATTGACCTCACCCCTTTCCTAAGAGGTCTGTAGGGCGTGTGCATAAGCGCACCAACGTGTCTACCATCCCTGTCCTATTATTTCTTTTATTTTTCTTATATGTACCCATTTCATGTATTCATAACTATGTGTATACTTATACCTATTATCTTGTAAGCGACTGACAAATAAAAATAAATAAATAAATAAAAATAACTGTTTTCTCGGTTCAGAAGTGTCCCAGAACTAGAAGGCTTTTTAGAGTGAATAGTTTCCCTTCCTGGCGGTTGATCATAAAAGCAGAGTTACCTAAATGAAGACATTTTCTTGGGGGTTGGTGTGTGTGATACATCTCTTTTACCAGAGGAGAATGCTCAATGAGACACACTTATCTTTTTGTAGGCTATAAGAGCTGCACCCCAAAGGTGGAATAATCAGAATCTAGAATAGACTTCACTGAGGGAGGGGGGAGTTTTTGAAGAGGTAGAAAAGGTGCCTTAAGCCTTTAAGCCCCCCCCCGCCCCGCCCCCAGTCCCAAACTCTGTACCTAAATGCCCCAGTGCACTGTGGAAATTCACAGAGGCACCACAGGATATTTAATATCACTTAGTAGTGCCCTTGCATGAAGTATTCAGAAAAATCAACACTGCTTGTTTTTCATGTTGTTCTAAGTACAATAGTCCAAAATGTCTAATACATTTTTAATATTGACCCTCGACTGTCTGGAGAACATACTTTTCTTGTGTAAAGACACCATGTCAATGTTCAGAAGGTGTAGAAAAAGTTTCTTGTGTAAAGCCCCCATGTCAACTGTTCAATATGGGTGGAATTGGGTTGCTGCAAAAATGTAAAATGCTGGACCGGTTTAGGATAATTTGTAATCTAGCGTTGATTGGGCTGCTCAATCCCTTTTTATGGCCTGCATTTTTACTTTTTTTCTTCCTGATACCAAATACATAGGTAACACATAGGTTTTAAAAAGTGGAGAAAAGAAAAATACAAGTCTCTCCCTGACTGGAGAAGAATAATAGGTCTGTCATTTTACCATTCCATGCAATGAGAATAATAAAACCACAGGCATTGGGACTGGAAGGGTACAACCATCAGAGAGAGAAATTATCTTCTTTAATAGCACTACATTTTAGAGCAAAGCTGCCAACAACATCTAAGCACTAAGCAGTTTTTGGCAGCCTGAAAAGTTGGCAGAGATCAAAAACAGATCCCCAGCCTTGTTCTGCTGGATGACAGCATCCAAACACAGCACTTTATTTCAGTTCAGTTCCTTAGCCAAGCAGAAAGCAAAGGCCATCTGAGGTGGACCAGTGGATGGACCAGATTATTTTTACAGGGATTAGAAAATGCAGCAAATTTGTGGAGAGGAGTGGGGGAAGTTCAAGGGATGATTGGGGGTGCATAGATGCAAAATGCCTTGCAGGAAAATGACTTTTTGATTTTGGGTTTTATGGATTAGATAGATTTGTTGTTAGAGAAATGGCTAGTTTATATTATCAAGAAAAAGTAAACAGTTGAGGGTAGATGTTAATGCCTTATTTTACTGCACCAAAGGAGTCTGAAGCTAATACCTTTCCCCCCTTTTCCCTTGCTTTCCCCCACTATCCACTTCCCTTTTCCCTCATATTTACTTTTGTATTCTCTTTGTATGTCATATTATAAATTAATTTTAAAAACTATATAACTAGGAAGCTGCAGGAAATTTAGTGGGAGGGGGAAGTTCAAGGGATGATCGGGGGTACATAGATGCAAAATGCATTGCAGGAAAATGACTTTTCTGAGTTTTGAATGAGAAATGATCGTGGTTTTTCTTTTCTTTCGTTCTTTTTTCTTTTTTAAACAATGCATAAAGTCTAATTTTGGAAGTAGGAAAAAATGTTATCCCCATATTTCAGATCACCACCAGAGAAGGCTGCGGGGGAGGCTACAAAAAATTCAAAACCTGCTTCCATAATCTATCCACAAAGCAAGGAATTGGGGAATGAAAAAAATGCCAGATGGAAGGGAGAAACAGTGGGGAGTGGGTTTTACAGGACAATCTCTGAAACAGAGTTTTAGACTGAACCTTTCCCTGGAGCAATTCAGTGAAACGAGGCCTAAACAACCCATGTTGATTTTGATTGTGTGTTTATTTCTAGGGTTCTTACGGAGTTGTGAAGCTGGCCTACAATGAAAATGATGATCAATATTATGTAAGTTTCAAAGGCCTCTGCTGATCCACTGCTGCATGCATGAGACTGAGATGGGGCAATAATGGGACATTTTATTCGATACCTTTGAATTCCTACACAGTTAGAGGTAACAGCTTGGGAAAGTTGCCTATGTTATAGTTTTAATTGCTTAAAATGTTCCCCATTTCCATTTTGAGCTGGAATAACAATAATAATCTCCCACCCAAAATGGCTTTCCAGATTTGTTGAGTCATTGAACAATATTTGAAAAGTAAAAGAATAGAAATAGAAAGAATGACAAAATTATGTTCTTATTTTTCTTTCTTACTTGTTTTCCAACTTTGTTTTGGTTGGTTTATTTGTGCCTTAGAATCACGAGTTTTTCCTCCCCCATTCCTGAAGACTGTCTGAAAAAGTTCCTTCTTGGCAAGTGGTTTGCCATTGCTCTTTCCAAGGACTCAGAGAGAGTGGCTGGCTCAAGGTTACCTAGTTCGCTTTCTGTCAAAGATGGGACCAGATCCCAGTTTCCTGGTTTCTAACCTGATATCTTAACCACCAGACAATGCACCAAACTGGCTCTCCTTTGGTATATTTTTATATTGAATAGACACACATGCATACACATTTGCATATATATACTGTAGGAAAGGAAAGGAAAGGAAAGGAAAGGAAAGGAAAGGAGAGGAGAGGAGAGGAGAGGAGAGGAGAGGAGAGGAGAGGAGAGGAATGGAAAGGAAAGGAAAGGAAAGGAGAAAGGAAAGAAAAGGAGAAAGGAAAGGAAAGGAAAGGAAAGGAGAAAGGAAAGGAGAAAGGAAAGGAGAGGAGAGGAATGGAAAGGAATGGAATGGAAAGGAAAGGAAAAGAAAGGAAAGGAAAGGAAAGGAAAGGAAAGGAAAGGAAAGAAGGAAAGGAAAGGAAATACAATTGAATTTTATTGCTGCATACAGTATTACATAATTAGTTAATGGCTGGTGAATTCTTCCAAGCTTTTCCAATTGTCAAGGTACTTTTCAAATTGACACAAATTCCATGTTCTCTTTATTGCCACTTTGCAGTAATCCTATAATTATCACATACATATTATTTGCAAGAGCTTCTCACCCCTTCTGGAACCATTGTGATTTTGACAACTAGGAATAGTTAGATTTCTTGTCTCCCCCTGGTTTTTCTACACCCCTTTTTGCACACTTTCGCAATTAGTGATATACAAGCAAAATCTGTTTGGACTTGTACCAAGAAGCCAAGAAGTAGTTACATTCTTCTAAAATATTGTTTCTCAACTATGGCAACTTTAGGCTGTATAGATTTCAAATCCCAGAACTGTGGGAAATTCCCACGTATTATGTATGCCAAGGTTGAAGAACCCTATTCTGAAATATCATTAGTGTAAAAGCTTACGAGTAGGGGATGAAGATGGAGTAATCTTTCTTCTATGCATGATAGTGATTCTTGATAGGGGGGCATATGACCATTTTTTTCTTGCTTGAAAAAGAAAAGTCCTGGGCAGGGACTTTCAGGCCAGGATACAAATATCAAAGGCTTCTTGCTAGCTGCTTCCTTAAGCACCTCAGTTCTGATTATTTAAAAAAATTGACTCCCAACTGAAATGACAGTATGCCTTTATTTTAGACTAGCTCTATACCCGTGCTTTGCTATGGGAACTATGTCATTGGGCTTAGTTTTTGGGGAGGAAAATAAGGTGGGGGGGAATTGTGCCTCTGCCTATCAGCATCCATTGGTATTCATCTGGCTGGCGTCCTGTCAGTGTGTGACAGTGTTGAGGGCTGTTTGGAAACTGAAACAATATTTGCTGTGTGAGCAAGAAGGAGACAGCAAGGAGCCTGGGCGTGGCTTAGCTTAACTGTTCTGTACTAAAGCTGCTTGGTGCTCTGAAACTGAAACTCCTCTCCTCTGCTTGTGTTTTGCATTTGGAACAGATTTTTTTCAGGTGGGGAGGGAGAGTAGAACTCCTTAGCATCAGAGCGTGTTAATAATAGTATATATGAAACACTAATGCTCTGGTGGTTATTTTGAAAAATCCTTTCTTACTGAATACCTAGAAACCAAGAGGAACCTATGTGCCAAAATTCAAGTTTGTAGGCTTTACGGTTCTGGAGATTTTGTGATGATGTGTGAGTGGTATTTTGCTTTTATATATATAGATGTCCTGGCAGGGAGCAGAGACTCCTCCTAGATGACCAACTTCTACCACCAACATTTGGTGTTCTTGTCAGAAGCATCAAACAAATTTCTCCTCTTATAGGAACTCCTATAGCTTTTCTCATGTTATTATCTTTCTCTTTTGCCTGCAGGCCATGAAGGTCCTCTCAAAGAAGAAGTTGTTAAAACAATATGGATTTCCACGTAGGTATCTGTGCCTTGTTTATGTATAAAGACACAGCAAACTCTTCCATTTAAATTAGATTTTAATTTTTTTTAAATCTCAATGTTGTACATTCTGCGTCGCAATGGTTCACTAAATTTGTTGTGTACATGGATATACAGTATTTATGTATATTCCTCTGAGTTAGTACAATCCTTGGAAACTGGCTAGACTGAAAATTTTGGAAGTGGTTTTTACCCTTGCTTTTTTCCTAGGGCTGAGAGAGGTTGGCTGGCTCAAAGACACCCAATTGGCTTTGTGGCTAAGACAGGGATGGAACTGACAGTCTCCTGGTTTGTAGCCTGGTGTCTCAACCATTGTACCAAGCTATCTCCCAATAAGGAAATAAAATGGATGGATGGATGGATGGATGGATGGATGGATGGATGGATGGATGGATGGATGGATGGATATCCACCCAATAAGACCATACCTCATAAATTCTTTGCATTCATTTCTTCTTGAAATGAAACTTTGTCCTGCTACATGCCAAGAATTTATGAGGTGTACATTTTTCAGGTGATTTGCTTTTATTCAACCTACACTTAGTAAATGAGAGTGCTGTGTGAGAGTGAATGAGAGAAACAAAGGGAACTACAGCATTATATCCATGTGCTCATGTGTAAAAAATGAAAAATTGCACAGCCTCATCTGCATTCATTATGTCAGGTTTGTAAATCTGCGTCCTCAGAGGTGAGTATGTCCCCCAAATCTTTGGGTCTGCCCCACTTCTCCAAAAGCTGCTACCAAACTGTTCTTTGGGGGACAAAAGAGAATCCTAACTCATTCACTATATGACTGAATGATATCACCTTCATTTCTTTGGAAACATACTAATTATTTCTTTTTCCCTTTTCTGGCATGCAACCACCACGTACCACTCATTAAATGTTATGCACTCCTGATATTTTTCCAGCTTAACCTGGCAAGCTATATGGCACTTAAGGCTGAAAAAAATTGCCTGCCTGGGCAATGTGGAATTGGATTAATTAAGTTTAATTTTAAGGCACAACTCAGTAGTTAATAGGCACTGCAGTTTTCCATTTCACATTTACTTGTTAAATTCATACCCTGTGCTTTCACTGAAAAGCGGAACTCCAGCTAGATGATATGCAAAAATGAATAGAAGAGAAACAAAAACAATAAAAATGTATTACAAAAAATAGACTTCTTAAAAAGCACATTGGTAAAACAGATCACATCCAATACAAATGTATTATAGTAAGCTTCAAGCTCATATTTCCATTCTTCTTTTGTATTCCATAGAAAATGACATCTGCTTTTAAATTAACCAAAGCTCACTTGGTATCTAAATTGTTAGGCTAGTTTGAAAGGTTGGTCTGATAATATTGGATCACTTTGTACTTTCTTCCTGGAAATGTAATTTATTGAAATGCTGAGGAAAGATTGCTCTTTTCTAGTGGACTATAAAAGCATCACTGTAAGTGCATCTTTTTTCCATGACTACAATGGGTCACATGGTCAGAGTTGATTTGCATGGTTATCTACTATCCAGCCTTTTTTTTTAACAAGCCAGGAAGCTTTAGCCCATCCAGCTGTCTGACAGTGGCATTGTGTGTTACTTTTTTTTTAATGTGCTGTAGGTTAGTTGTCACTGAAAAGGCCAAAGAAACTTGACAATGCACAATACCTGACAGTATGTGGAGATGTTTGTGTAGAAGGTTGTGTTTTCAGAAGTACACTTAAAATAGGAATGGATAATATATGACCCCCAAAAAAATTGTTGGCTACAAGGTCCCAATGGTTTTCATAGAGCAAGCAATCTATCAGAATATAGCTGGAAGGGACCTTGGAGGTCTTCTAGTCTAACACCCTGCTCAAGCAGAAGACCCTATACCATTTCAGATAGGGGGCTGTCAATCTTTCTTAAAAACCTCCAACTTCTGAAGGCAAGTTGTTCCACTGGTTAATTGTCCTCACTGTGAGGAAGTTTTTCCTTAATTACAGGTTGTTTCTCTCCTTGGTTAGTTTCCACCCATTGTTTCTTGTACTGCACTCTGGTGCTTTGGAAAATAAGTTCTTTAGCAGCCCCTGAAATACTGGAATACTGCTATCATGTCACCCCTAGTCCTTCTTTTCTCTAGACCAAGGTGTCAAACTCGTGTCATCACGGTGGTGTCACATGATGTATTGGGACTTTTTCCCCTTCGCTACACTGGGCATGGGTGTGGCCAGTGTGTGACACATCCGACCTGTGGCCCGGGAGTTTGACAGCTCTGCTCTAGACTGACCATACCCAATTCCTGTAACTATTCTTCACATTTTTTGTCTCCAAGCCTTTAATCATCTTAGTTGCTCTTCTTTGCACTTTTTCCAAAGTCTCAACATCTTTTTTGTAATCTGGTGACCAAAACTGAATGCAGCATTCCAGGTGTGGCCTTACTAAGGCTTTATAAAATGGTACTAGTACTTCATATGATTTTGATTCTATGCCTCTGTTTATACAAGCAAGTATTAGCATACGGTATTAGCTTTTTTGGCTGCTGCCACACATTTCTGGCTCATGTTTAAGTGATCGTCCACTAGGACTCCAAGATCCCTCTCACAGTTACTATTTTTGAGGCAGGTTTCCATGTTGATATAAATTGGGAATTCAACAGTATTTGGAAAGTCACAATATCACTTATATTCTTTATTTCACATCACATTTGTAACCTCATATATCATAATATATGTGGGTATATCCAGGAAGCCCTCTCTGGCACTCTCTCAACAGCTTTCTAACAACTTTGACATCAACACACAGTGGAAAGCCAACTGGGCTGTTGAACGCCCAGATACAAGCAGTTATGCAGATGAGCCTACACAAAAGGTGCCAGGTTTTGATCTTCTTCACCAGCATTGGTCAACTCTGAATAGGATCTGTACCCAACAAGGTGTCTACCAGGACTCATTGTTTAAATGGGGTCTTGTCTCTATCCCTCAGTGGGACTGTGGTGCTCCTCGACAAAATATCCATCACATTGTGTCCGAATGTCCATCAAGAGCTTACTTTGGTCCAATGTCTGGTTTTTTTTAACAAAGACCACCCTGCCCTTGAATGGTTGGGTGGACTGGACATTAACATTCGAACCACTATAAGTCCATGTATTTACCATGCGCTAAATAAATAAATAAATAAATATGTGGGCATGTGGGTATATGCATAATTTTATATTTATTTATTTGTTTGTTTATTTTATCATGTTCATGTAGTGTATTTTGGAGGTGGTGACACTTTGAGAGCATTCATTATAAATTTCATTTAATGTATGCCGATTAGTGTATATTCAAAGTGACAAAGTTATTCCAAGTCTGAAGTTATTCTAGGTCTGGTTTTGCATTAACTTGCTTTTGGGGTATGCACAATTATTGGAATCATAAATTCTACAAAATTAGTTGGACTTGCACAACATGCTAAAGAAATAAAATTAATGAAAATTAAGAGTAACCAGGCGTAGTATCTTGTAGTATGTCTTAAGTGTGTTACACAAACATAGCCAGTGTGTTCATAATTAAATTGTACTTGGTGTAGTTCTGTTGAAATTAAAAGGGTTTCAGCAACTCTTGTCTGTTGTTTCTTGATTTCAGGGGGATTACTCAAAGAGTGATTAAACCAGAAACCAGTCCACTGGATTTACTGGTTGTTTTTTTTAAGTAGAAAGGGTTGAATGAAGTGCAATTGCTATTTTTGGCTTTGCTTCCTGGATTTATTGGTCTCAGAGTGATGTGAACAGACTTGGCTTCTTTTCTCAGAGAAAGAACATGTGTATGAATGATTAAGTAGCTCTGCACTGTATCTTAGTTTGTTGTCGCAAGTTCTGTAATCTCTGATGCAAAATTCTAGATCATCAGAGAAGTAAACTGTATCTGAATTTAGTTGGATATATTTCTTGGTTCTCATAGATATCCCTGAAAGCTAGGGGAAAAAATCAATATCAAAGCAACATGAAAACTAGTTCTCAGCACATGATGTCTTTTAATTTCATTACCAAAGGCCGCCCTCCACCTCGGGGATCGAAAACCACTGCAAGTGGACAGATGAAGCCAATGGCCCCTCTAGATCGGATATATCAAGAAATAGCAATTTTGAAGAAGTTGGACCATATCAACATTGTCAAGCTGATTGAGGTTTGTTTGCTTGTGTTCTGTGCATGAGGTAGGTTGGGATTTTCCAAAACTCCCTTTAATTGAATTTCTTCCTGGATTTTAAAATTCTGGATTTTTTTAGCTTTGATTTCAAAGTGAGCATGACAGATCAAGATTTCTTCATATATATTTTTTGCTGTTGGTTTTTCTTCTGATTTTTATATGAACAGAGTAAACACTTTGCCCATATTTCAGCATCTTGTGACCTCCTCGTAGATCCTGTTTAATCATAACAAAACTTGAGTAAAGTCTGGGAAAATAAACAAGAATCTTGAACAAAGTTGAATGCTGCTTGCTAGCAGTGGTTGTTTGAAAAAACAACCTTTTAAAGGAGTTTTTTTCTTTTCACTTTTTTAAATAGTCACCACTTACAAATGTCTGGCTTGTGTTCTAAAGGCAAAAGTGCAGAAGGTTGTTCCTGGGATTTCAGGGTTATACTTTTTCTGGCTATTATACTATTTCAGGCCCTTTTATAAATAGTCCTTGCTTACCAACTGTTTCATTCAGAAAACGTTCAAAGTTACAATGGTGCTGAATAAATAATTTTGCAATGAATGCCTGCATTTACAACCTTTGCAACATCAGACAAATGATCACTATTATAGTCAGTACATGCTGTTCTGGCCTGTTGCTTTTCTTTGTATCCCTGCACCTCACCCCCACCGGAGTGGAGAGATCGGAGAAAAAGAGATTTAAACAGAGTAAGCAGGCTCACGATGAGGAATACACATTGGAAGAAATCCAGTAGTTCCCACAGCTCTGAGCATGCAATTGCTATATATCTCCCCTTGTGTGCCTGCTTACTCTCTTGTAATCCCTCTCTTGCTTTATGTAGGGGGAGGCAGAAAAAAAATTATAGGCAAGGTCTCCTGGGTCAGACCTGTTTCTTTTCTTCCTCCACAGATCACAGAGATCGGAGAGGAAGGCATTATAAGAGAGTAAGCAGGCACACAGTGTGGAATACACTCTGTTGTTTGTATAGTATGCTTACAGCTGCCAGCCCTGATTGGACTTGGGGCCACCTACACTACTATATCATTTTTTTATGTGCGTTCCCCATTATGTATTTGCTCACTCTCTTGAAATCCCTTACTTTGCAATGAATGTAAATGCAAATATGATTTCCCTTCTTACTAATTATCCAGTACTGGAGTGAACATTCAAAAGGGCAGAGAAATGAGGCGTACGAGCCGTATGATTTCCAACCTGGTGACCCCTTTGCTTAATGACAGAGTTACTGGTCCCAACTGTCATTGCCAAACAAGGACTATCTGTTTGCAAAGTAGTTTTTAAAAAGCTTTGGATGCCACTGCATTCACATCTTTAGGAAGGAAGGAAGGAAGGAAGGAAGGAAGGAAGGAAGGAAGGAAGGAAGGAAGGAAGGAAGGAAGGAAGGAAGGAAGGAAGGAAATAAATAATAAAGGCAGCAGGAGAGGTTAATCAGAGACTAGAGCGGGGGCATCTGCCCACATTAAGCAAAAACACCCAATAAGTGCCTCCCTCAGTACTCTCACTACTGGTCACCTGACTTTGTTTCCAAAATAATGGATAGTAAAATATAGTGGATTTTATGCATTTTGAGGCTGCTGCTGGATGGTTTCAGAATAAGGAGGAAAACACAACTTTAGCATGTGTACCGTTAGTGGTGATTTATTCATAATTCATAAAGGACTTATTCCCATTCATAAGCTTAGAACAAGATGAAGTATCATGAGGACAAGGAGGAAATTGTTGGTATCAAGAAATGTTTTTATCATAGTTAAGTGTCTCTATTGTTTATCCTGTTGCTTCTTTGACAATGTTCAACGGGACATGGAGAACTCTCCCCTGAAAGAAGAAAGGAAATATAAAACAAATCAGGAATTGCAATACAAACAGTCACTTTTTTAAGGTGTCATCCATGCATACATGTGTATTAGCAATGAAGAATTGGCAAGAGCAAGTTTGCAGAAGTGCTGAGGGAGTTGAAAGCATTTTGTAACTGCATGTATTTAAGTCCCAGTTCTTCTTGTCTTCTGTTCAGTCCTGTCTGATTCTTGGAAATTGTCTAGACATGCCCCTAAATTTTCTCGGAAAGGTTTTTCAAAAATGGTGTGTCATTGACTCCTTTCTAGAGCTAAGAGAAAATGGCTGGCTCAAGGACACAGTCCGGCTACTGTCTTTCAAAGCAGTTGCTTCTAAGAAAACAGCTGTAATCATTGGGCTGATTTCCCTAAATTTTGATGAAATTAGTTTGCCTTGTAATTCCCACAAATTTATTTTAATTTTTCCCTCTGGAGCAAAAGGGAAAACATCAGATCCATTGCTTGCATAATGGGATCTGTTCATTTCTAGATTCCCCCAAATTAGCATGTTTTCGTGTACCCTTTGATAACAGATTGAATCTTTTTCCCAAGCTGTATCCTTGGAATTTATGGAATTGTACTTTGAGTTGGTATAAAAATAAAAAGTTTATAGCTTACCTGATTCCTTCCAAATCTGTTGGACTACAGTTCTCTTGTCCCAGTCAGGGTAGTTAAATCACTCTTTCCCTATCTAGTACAACCTAAGTGTGCAGGGATGATAATTTCTAGAATTCCTAGCCAACATAGCTAATTCTGAGAGTAGCAGTGTCAAAACAGTTTGAGGATGGGGAGAATTAGGTTCATAACTGCCTGTACTATGAGATAAAAGTGAATGATGGTTGAGAAGTTGAAGTAGATATATTCTTCTTTTCAGGTATTGGATGATCCTGCAGAGGACAATCTATACATGGGTGAGTAATGTAGAAGAATATAAGAAATGGCTATCCTGGAGCAGACTGACACTATCTGGTTCATACAGCACCCAATCTGTTTAGGGCAGGGGTGTCAAACTCAAGGCCCGGGGGCCAGATGTGGCCCGCGGGGTGATTAGATCTAGCCCGCAGGGCCACCCTGGAAACAGTGAAAGACTGGCCTGCGGTGCCTCTGCCAGCAAAAACAGAACTCGGGTGGGCTGCACACAGCCCTCTTGAGCTCTGTTTTCATTGGCAGAGGGTTACTTACAGGAGGCCGTTGCAGCCGAAAATGGAGCTCAGGAGCCTGTTTTCTCTGGCAGAGGCCTCGGGCCACCACAGGCACCCCTGACACGAGTGGTGTCGAGATGGCCACACCCACTCTGGCCACGCCCACTCTGGCCCTCCGAGGTAAAATACAATCCTGATGCGGCCTTCAATGAAATTGAGTTTGACACCCCTGGTTAAGGGGAAGAGGACATTAATATAGTTCTACTTATGTTTGCTAGCACCTTCCACTGATTTAGGACCATATTCCTATTTATCCTGAAGCAGGGCAATCATTTGCAGTGGGAGACTGGTATCACCATCAAGAATATGGTGATATGTCAAGACCAGTAGATAAATCAGACCAAGAACTTACTGTGCAGAAAGGCTAAGGTTACTTCTGTTGAGATAGGCTATAACAAAATCTTGCAGATCTGGTTGTGCTCTACCCTCTCTCCTTTTTATACACCAGTGAATTAGGGAGAAACAGGTAGTCCTCGACTTACAACAGTTCATTTAGTGACTATTCACACATTTCACACTTACAGCCATGGTCATCAAAATTTGGATGCTTGGCAACTGACTCATATTTATGATGGTTGCAGTGTCCTGAAATCATGCGATCCCCTTTTACAACGTTCTGACAAGCAAAGTTCAATGGGAAAGCCGGATTCACTTAGCAACTGCTATGATTCACTTAACAACTGTGGCAAGAAAGTTCATAAAATGGGGCAAAACTCACTTTACAAATGTCTCACTTAGCAACATAAATTTTGGTTGTAAGTCAAAGAATACCTGTGTCTGTCTGAGATACTTCTGAATATTATCCTGTTCTGGACTCTTTTCTTTTATGTACACTGAGAGCATTTGCACCAAGACAATTTCCTTGTGTGTCCAATCACACTTGGCCAATAAAGTATTCTATTCTATTCTATTCTATTCTATTCTATTCTATTCTATTCTATTCTATTCTATTCTATTCTATTCTATTCTATTCTATTTTCCCTAGTTAATGGTTCCTTAATATCTCTATCTCCCTTACCTTCTATATCAGGGGTGTCAAACTCAAGGCCCGGGGAGTGCAGATCCGGCCTGGGGGTTACTTAGATCTGGCCCATGGGGCCGCCCTGGAAACAGTGAAGGACCTGCCGACTGTGCTTCTGCCAGTGAAAACAGGCTCCCAAGCTCCGTTTTCAGCTGCCATGGCCTCCTGCATCCCTCTGCCAGTGAATACAGAGCTTGGGAGCTCCCGAGCTCCGTTTTCACTGGCAAAGGGTTGCAGGAGGCCGTGGCAGCCGAAAACTGAGCTTGGGAGTCTGTTTTCGCTGGCAAAGCACTCAGGCCACCACAGGTACCCCCAACAGGAATTATGTTGAGCTGGCCACGCCCAGCCCCAGCCCCCCTCTATATGATGCCGCTAACTAGATGGGGTTGATTCTTATATGCCTATTTTGCAGTGAGGGGTTTTTCTTAAATAACATTGTCTTTTTCTTTTCTCTTTTGTAAACAGAATTCAGTTTCTTTTTTCTTGTTTTTATTTTTAAAGAGTTCTCCAATGCACCACAAAGTGGTTCTCTGGTTTAGCGATCAATATTTCCCCTGCAGAATTCTCTAGAGTGGCATCAGGAAATAAGTGCTGTCACTTTTAATGGCTTCAGAATGGTGCTGTGTGGTCACTCAGTATCTTTCTAAAACCACAGACGAGGTCGGTATACTCTAGAGTGGGATTGGCCAACTTCAATCCCTGGTCCTCATACAGGACTCTGTCCTAGTTTGCGGTCCCTGAGAACTCTGAAACAGAAAAAATAATAAAAAAATTTTCACTACATAATTTTCAGCTTTTTAAATCAAAATTCGACTGGAAATATTTTATTTATTAAATGAAGTTATATAACTGACCAACTCACACGTAGTGAATGCAGGTGGAGTATGATGTTCAAAATCCAGTTTAAAATTCATGATTCAAACCCCTCCTCCTCACACCCCACCCCAAATGGGGTCCCCAGACCTTCTGACAGACCCATGTCTTCAAGGCCTTGTGGAAAAGCAACAAGATGGGGGCCAATCTTATCTCTGGATAAATCATTTCCGAAGGGAGGGAGCTACCCCAGAGAAGGTTCTTTTCCTAGGTCCCACTAGATGTACTACCTTGATAGTTGAGACCAGCAACGTGTCCTGCCTTCCTGGTGAAGCGTGAAGATGTATTTGGGGAGAAGTAGTCTATCAAATAGACATAAAACAAATTTCCATTGCTAGTCTTTGAGGCTGCCTGCCATTAAGGCAAAATAAAAGAAACTCTAATAAATGTTTTCCATTCACACCACTCAGAGCAGGGGTGTCAAATTTGTGGCCCGCGGGCCAGATGCGTCATGTGCTGGCCTCACCCCCACCTGGTTTAGCGAAGGGGGGGGAAGTCCCAATACATCACATGATGTCACCATGATGATGCAAGTTTGACACCCCTGACTTAGAGGATGTCCTTTCTTTGTCACAGTACAATAACCAGTGGCATTCAAAAGCTAAAATTTGCAAAAAGATGACTCCAGGCAAATAGATTCTCTCTTTTCTCTGGAAACACTGAGAAATCAAAGAAATGGTTGCCCCATTTTGTACAAATAGGTTTACTACAGGACTTTGGAAATGGGTGATCATAAAAGTGAAAACTGAAAGTCTTTTGTTTGGAACTCTTAAAACTTCTTTCATGAAGAACTTTTGCTTAACTCTTATTTTGAAGGTCTGTTTGCTATAGTATAAAGTTAGTAATGTAAATGCTAATATCATTGTTGATTTTTCCTACAAGCACATTCTCCCAACCAATTTTAAGCTTAACAGTTTAAGTTTATGGACCTTTTCTATAACATCATCTTAGGGAAATGCTTTGTATTAGAGCTTAGATGGAAATTAATTCAGGGAGGATTGCTTTTCTAAAAAGTGCATTGGTTGGGAGCTGTCTTTTCAGCATTCGATTTTCTTTCTTTTCAGCATTCGATCTCCTCCCAAAGGGGTAAGTAATCTATAATAAACAAAGATTGTGTAAAACCTAACAGGTTTGGGTGTTAAAAATGCAGTATTGCAAGCAAACTTTGCCCACAGCCTGAATTTCGATTCTTACAGGGCTCAGGGCTGACTCAGCCTTCTTTCCGTCCAAGTTTGGTAAAATGAGGACCCAGATTGTTGAGGGCAATATGCAAAATATGATTAGATTGTAAATTGCCCAGAGAATGCTATAAAGGGCTATGGGGCGGTACATAGGCCTAAATGCTATTGCTATCAGAGTTCATTGCATGACTGTTAATAGGCCTTAAGCTCTGCTCAGCAGCAGCATCTGCTGGTTGATCTGTATCAGCACCATTAAAGTTATGGCATCATTAAACAAGACTTTGAAAAAAATAGGCATGGGTGCCATTTTGGCTGTTTTGACTCTTATTCCATGTACACCTCCCAACTCCTTGAGAATCCAGTGAGTCCATCACTTGAAAAGCTGTCACAAGGAAGACTGTGTGGGTTTACTCTGTCTATTGCATGAGGGTAGGACAGGAATCCATAGATAAAGCTTTCCCGGGAGGTCCAACTCAAAATAAGGAGTGATTTCCCAACTGTAAGAGATATTAAACAATGGAACAGCCACTGCTTCTTGGAGTTCAGTGCTTACCCAATATTTTTTTGGAGTCATGGACTTCGTCCGTGGAGGTTTTCAAGCAAACAGGTAGACAGCCATTTGTCTGAGATGGTTGAGGGTTGCTCAGGGGTGGGATTCAAATTTTTTAACAACCGGTTCTGTGGGCGTGGCCATGTGACTGGGTGGGCATGGCTTTTTTTTTTTTTGCAGCAAATCCCCCCCCCCAATTTTGGGGCTTTCTGGGCCTCAGGGAAGCCTCCCGGGGGGCATTTTTGTTCCCAGGAACCTTCCCTGGGGCCCAGGAAAGCAAAAAATGGGGTAGAGGGGAGCGAGGGGGAAGATTTTTTTTCCCCCCCCTCCATTTTTTGTCTTCCTGGCCTCAGGGAAGCCTCCTGGGTGAAGCAGTAAGACAGCAAGGGGAATCCCGGCACAGCTGATCATAGGAACAGCAGATCGTCGGGGAGGGGGAGAAATACCTTAAGGAGTGATTGGGCAGGGAAGAACGCAGTCAGTGATGTCGGGTATGCACGCAATGTTGTGCATGTGCAATAAGGACTAACTGGGCAGAGAGGGGAGGGGAGGGGCCAGCCAGGGGCACGATTTGCCGGTTCTCCAAACTGCGCAGAATCATAACAACCGGTTCTATAGAACCGGTCCGAACTGGTAGAATCCCACTCCTGGGATTGCTGCCTTGGGCAGAGGGACAGGGAGAGATTAAAAGACCACCCTAACCCTAACCCCGTGTTTCTATGAATCCCTCTTCTCCATTTTTGGGGACTATTAACTGGAAGGAGGTGGCCTGTGTGCTATGCTTTGATTGGTTCCTCCACCTAATCATCCCATAAGTTACATTCTACAATTTGGCATTAATAAAAGCAATAAACAACACTCAACATCAAAAATAAAAATGAACTCCCAGTGAAACATCGCAAAGTGAATTGTTGAACAAGTCTCACAAGGCTTACCTCACCAGAATAATTAAAAATACAGAAGAAAACGGGTGTTACAGTCTGGTAAAGTATTTGTCTTGCTCTTTGCACCCAATTTTTTTAGGCCTGTCATGGAGGTGCCGTGTGACAATCCTTTTTCTGAAGAACAAGCTTGGCTCTATTTCAGAGACATTGTTTTGGGCATTGAGTACTGTGAGTATAAAGCAACAGAGTTGTTATTGTCATTGATGAATTTTCCCCCCTTTGATGTGCCTCTTTCCTTTCCACTGAAACGATCCTCCAGCAAAGGAACCATAACTCATGCATACATTTTAGCATATTTTCAAAAACATTTTCAGAGGAGGCTCAGATCTAGTCAATTTCTCAACTTTGGGGAGTGAAAGTACTTTTTGCTGTGACAAACCCACCAGTCTACATAACCCTTGTTAAATTGTATAATATGATTTTCTGAGCAGAAGTTGGTTCATAATAACTTAAGCCAAGGTTCAGCAGCCTTCATTGTTGGAGTGGGCACTATAATATCATGTAATTTTGTAAAATGACACTAATGCTGAATGAAGTGATTAGACTGTACTGTAAGTTGAATTTATCAATCATTCTAGGGTTTTATTTATTTTTCTAAGCAATCATGAAGAAATATATCAGGAAAAAGAATGAAGAATTCCCACCAGAGAAAGAGCACAATTGATCTGATTTGACTTGACTTGATTTGACTTGACCTATATAGCTGTCCATCTCACATATGTGGCTCTCGGCAACTGACAACAAAACTAGTTAAAAGACATACAATATAAAAAATAAAAACCCAAAGTAGTTGAGCATCAAAAAAATATTAATTGTAGTGTTTAGGTGCTTTTAATTGATTTTAATGTTGAATTTTGTGATTGCTAGTTTGTGCTTTAATTGAATACACCTCCCAGAATCACATGCAAGTGAGATGAGCTGACTTATAAATTGAAATGGAATGAATGAATGAATCACCATTAACAAAGCCAACAGATGGGCTCTGTCCCACATCCAGGGCCCCAGGCTCAATCTTTCCAAATTGGTTGATCATAATCAAATCAATATCGAAGCTGAATATTCCTTTCAATGAAAGTGACTTCCAGTCCCTATCTGTTTATTCTCCCATTATAGTATGTTTAGGCTTCTCCGTTGCAAACATTTCTACATATGGCTGCTATTGCCCAATTTGTGCTCTAAGCCCTGACATAGAATATGTTAGAGTCAGAAACCTTACATTCTTTAAAAACGAAAACAAGCAGCAAAAGCTCTGTGAGGTTGAAATGGTTCCAGCTGATGTGACAAGAATGGGAAATCAATGTTTTACCATCCCTGACTTCTTTCCTTCTGTGAAGTGTTACACCTATTGATTATATCTTGGAAACACTGCACGGTTAATGTGGGTGCTGTTGCCACAAACTTCCCTAGGGAACCATTTGTATCCTGACTGGAACAAACAAGCTTAGAAAGAGAGGAAACACAATACCTGGGGCTTAAACCACAAGTAACCAAGTGCTATTATTGATCCCCAACTGTGTTTCCTGGAATCACAGACCAATTCTATTGCAGTTTTCTAGAATTTCTCTCTCAAAGCACTGAATTCAATACTAATGGAAAAGATCTTGTTTACACTAGTTTAGTTCGAAGGTTTAATTAAGCAGCTTCTGAACCTGTTTATTTCACACTGGGACATTCATACTATAATTATTTGTTATTTCCGTAGTACTACAAATATTTATATTTCACCTGACATAGTATGTGTCCAGACATAGTATAGAATAAAAAAATACAGCAATACAAACCACACTGAATTCAATACACATATATAACAAAATGTTTTTTTTAAAATTTGGCTGTTTATGTTACATTTTATTTTGTGTCCTAAATATAGTTTTAAAAACAAGACACCTCCAGGAATGAAGCCAAGCCATACCATTGTGTTTAAAGGGTGCTGAACAAAACATTTTCTGTGTATGCCTAAATTGCAGCGAAATCAGAAAAATCTTATTTTATGAAGAGGATGGTCCCAAAATGGAATGCCACAAGAAAAGGAGGCCACTGTCAGCCTGGTGCCTTTTTTCAAAAGACCCAGTACACATTTTCTGTAGAAATGTGTCAAGGTAACACTAGATTTGATGTCCAGCACTGACCACAGACTCCCCCATTACATAGCTAACAAGCCCCCATCTTCCTTGGAATTCTACTTTTAGATTCATATATCTGAGAGAGAAGGGGTACAATGGCTCAGCAGTTAAAGATGCTAAGCTTGTCAGCTTGGGTTCAAGACCTGGGTGTTGTGCAATGAGGTGAACTCCCATTACTTGCCCCAGCTCTGCTCACCTAGCTGTTCAAAAGCTTGCAAATGTGAGTAAATACTGTAAATAAGTACCATTTTGGTGGGAAAGTAATATTGTTCTGTGTGCTTTTGCCATGTTGTTCACACGACCACTGAAGCATCTTTTGGACAATGCTAAGAAATGGAGATGTCATATCCCTGGTGGAGACTGACTCTGAGGGAGAGGAGGAGCAGCAGACAGGGAGTGGAAATGTGGCTTCGGAGGTTGTGGAAGAGGCTGGGGAAGGGCAGAGGCCGGCTGGGCAGTCAGAGGAGGACCCAGGCCCATCCCCTCTCCATCCTAGGGCACACAGGGAGGAGAGGATAAGGGAGAGACGTGGTCTACTGGGGAGGAGTGGGCCTTGATCTTCTTTATGGGCTGCAGCTGTGACAACTGAATAGGAGGACAGACATGCGTACTGGCGAGTGCTGGAAACAAAGTGTGGAAATATCTCTAGTTTATTGTTCGTCTCTGAGTTTGGCATCCTTCCCAGTGTGTGTTCTGATATCGGTGGATGTCTTCCAGCCTCTATCTTGCCTGGTTTTGTGTTGTTTTTTACTCTTTATAATTTGAACGGCATTTCCTCCTGCATTTCCTCCGGCATTTCCTCATACTGCTTGTATGAGAGCTTTTGGTCTCCAGTCAAAGATATTTGGAGCTTGGAAGCAAAGCGAAAGAATAAAAGGGGCTTCACCTGTTTTTTGTGACTGTGTTTATTTTGTATCCCACCCTGGGTCATCACAGGAGATGAGCACTGCCCCTAGAATCGGACACAGGAACTGGACTGAAGAAACCTTGACCTTGACCTGTCTGGGGGAGATTGTTTCAGAACCAAAAGACAACCATCGAAAAGGGATGCTTCCCAGGCCCCATAAGGTTGCTTATTCTCAGTTTAAAGAAAGAACATATGCTTTCCATTGCAAAAGGTTTCAGGTTCAATCTCCAGAATTGGGCTGATAATTTTTTTTCCCTTGCTGGGCCTATGTCAGGAGGTCTACCACTCTCACCATCCCTTCCCAGCACTGAATTCGGCCATGCTTATTGGCGATGAAGCAGGTTGCAGTCCAGCACAACTTGAGGGCCACCAGACCAGGGTAAGCCTAGTGGGCAGCACTGAACTAGATAGGAGCAATAGTCTGATTATGCAGCACCGTATAGCGTTCTCAGTTCATGGTCCCTTCTCTTTATATTTCTATGGATCTAACACAAATTGGCCTTGGTGTCTTTCTGAGAAAAAGAATCTCTCTCAGATACTATCCCCCAACTCACCTCAGTTACTTTCTTCTGCAGATTTCTTCTGATAGGTGCTAAATAATTTCTCTGCTCCATGACATGAAGCTGATAGTAAAGTGAAGCAGCAGTCCTTTGAGGTTGCATTTTGTCCTTGAACTGCAGGAGATTTCTCCATTAATCCAATTTAATGCAGTTTAGCAGCAGCTTTGGCAGACAGTGCAATGTGCTAATATAATTGAAACACATTCTCCTCTACTGGTAACACATTTCTCTCTTCCCCCCTCCTCAAATGGTAGGGAGTTTGCTATGAGGCAAAAGCATGTTGACACAAAAAGCCATGTTGTAGAGTGTCATATCCATCTGCCTGGTCTTGTCTTTGTCTGTCTGTGTGTGTGTCTATCATGTCAATGATCCAGGGATGTAGATTTCCAAGGCTCACAAACCTGATATACTGTAGTTAGAAGCTGATTCTCCACAATGGGCAGGGCCATTTGGAAAGAAGGTTTCATAAGTTGCATTATATGAAATGAATGTTGTTTGGGAGGTGAGGTGAGCTGCATAAACCATGGTGATTGTGGTTGATCATATGAGGTCACCTGTTTACATTTTTGCACCCTAGGGTAGCCTATACTTGTTTTGAGCACATGCAAGTGTCTCCTGGAAGCCACTGAGCCAGGTGTTTTTTCTTCCTTGATGTCAACCCTCTAAACATTGAAAAGTGGAAAGGAGTGGGACGTAGCAACAGTGGGACATTCCATGGTTTCTTTGAGAATTGTGAGTCCAGAGAGTGAATACCTTGCCTTCTGACCTTCAGTGATCTAGTCCTGACAGCAATGATTGCATTACTGGCAGTATTTTGATGAGAAGACTTTGAGATCACTGAGGAAACATTCAAAATGCATCTGGCCAACCCAGTGTGAAGTTTATTCTGAATCAATATTTCATCTCCTTCACACTATGTTCTTAGAACAACTCTGTTAAGAGGACAGAATTTTAAGCAAAGTCTCATCCCTGGACTCTTACAAGAAACTTAAATAATTGGAGGATCATGTGGATATTTTATATAAATTTATTTTGTGTAACAATATTTACCCTTAAGTAATTGTTCTATAGCAATTAAATTGTTTTATGTTTACCTGTGTTTGATTCTTTTTTAAAAAAAATCTTTGGTATTTGTGTCCTCCCTGGAGTGGGCATAGATTGATTTCTTTCTGTTGATTTTCAATGAAAAAATTGGATTAGAAAAGAAAGGTGATCAGGGAAGACAATTGCTATTCTTTATTTCTGTCTTGCTTTTAAAAATCCCGCAGGGCCTTGGTTATGGCACAGACTCCAATGTAAACTTTTTCTGCAATAAATAATAGAATTGCTCTTCTCTGGGGACTTGAGAGGTTCAAAGATATACAAGTTTGAAGATATTTATTATTTCTATTTCAACATCTGTATGGATGGGAGATGGAGAATGGAGATTTTGTGTTATAGCTATTCTCAAATAATTAAAAATCTCAGCCATCTTCTACAGATCACCCAGTGCCCTTTCAGTAGATATTCATTTATCTTCTATTTTGCCTGTTTTAGCAAGTCTAATTTTATGTCTTTGCTCAAACAGAAAGAAACAGT